TCAGTGTTCTCATGAAAGCAATTGGTTTCTAAACTAACATTTCCTCCATCTTTGTGGGGGGTGGGTGGGGGGTGGGGTACAGCTGAGTGGCAGAGCACATACTTTGCCTGAAGAAGGTCCCAAGTTCAATTCCTGATAGCTCTGGGAAGGGTAGGGATAACACCTGCCTGACACCCAGGAAAACCACTGCCAAACAGGGTCAACAATTACTGGCCTAAATGGACCAATGATTTGACTCAGCACCAGGCAGCTTCTGAGGTTCACCTGCTACCACCATTGATGGCTGAAACCAACAGACATTTCAAGGTTTAGTCACCATGTTTGGCTTGGTTTTGCAATTCTAATTTTGTTATTTTAATTTTATTGTCGTGTGTGTGTTATTTTAACCCTTGTTTAATTTTAACTTTTGTTAACTGCCTTGGTTCACTGCTGCTTTTTTCAGGTGGCATGGGACCATACCCTCTGACAAGGAAGAATTAATCTCCTTCTTGGTCCAGCTAGGTGTTTTCTCTCTACTAGTTTCTATAAGCCAAGAAGGACAAGGATCTAATCTGAAAGTGGTTGCACAAGCCTGTTAAAGTACCTTATCAAAATCCTCCAGCTGTATAAGTGAAACTCATCCAAGTAATTTGGCCAGGCTGTGCTCTGGGTATCTTGCCTGAGTCACATGCTGTAATATTGGAATCTAAGCCCTGATCGATGCAAGAGAATGTGTCCCAGGAAGGCCTAGCAAACCACAGCAGGCCACAGATGGGTCTACAATGTTGAGTTCTGGCAATGTAATAGGCCCTGGATGATCCTAAAATCCTGTACTCAGTGGTAGAGAGAAGATTGGATAGATGCAGTGAGAAGCTGTTTCTTTGCCACTTTCAGTACTCCTAAGTAAATCTACTTACAGGCACATAAAGGTTAAAGGTAAAGGTTTCCCCTTGACATGAAGTCCAGTCATGCCTGACTCTAGGGGGCGGTGCTCATCTCCATTTCCTAGCCGAGGGAGCCAGCATTTGTCCGCAGACAGTCTCCGTGGTCATGTGGCCGCATGACTAAACACCGAAGTGCACGGAACGCTGTTACCTGCCCACCGAAGTGGCACTTTTCTATCTACTTGCATTTGCATGCTTTCGAATTGCAAGGTTGGCAGGAGCTGGGACGGAGCAATGGGAACTCACCCTGTTGTGCAGATTCGAACCGGAGACCTTTCGATCAACCAGCCCAAATGATCTATCAAGAGACAATTCTAACTTCTGTCCATCTATGTTCAGAGTCCCTAACCCTCCAGTGAAATTCACAGTCTTGAGAATGGAAGACTTGAGACGCATAATGTTCTCAATTACATTAGGAAGCACAGATTAAATACAGTAAAAGGATGTGTTCTGGTGAGTGATTTCATCTCAAGGCAGCATCCTTTCCCCCTCCTCTCAGGTTTGGCTGTTTCGTATCTTCATACCCTCAGCTTTGCTCAGGTGTGCTCAACTGAGCATCCTCAGCTATTTGACTGATTTGTCAAGGCGCCACCACATCTTTTAAAAGCTGTACAACAGGGAGAATTTCAAGGCAAAAGCTTCCAGTCTCCTGCACTTGCATTCTAGCATGTACAGAATACCCTATGGACAAGAAATACATTTCAGGGACATGAGTTCTTGTTGACTCAGTCCAAATTAATTGGACAAGTAATTTCTGCTCTTTTGCTTAAATAATAGGGAAACAATTTCACTAGTATGTCACTGTTAGAATGGGCAAATATTATAAAACACTACAATGAAGAGATTGAGGCATGTCAGTTCTGAGCAACATTTGGCAACTGCCTTGCTCTTGTGATCCTACCTGACCCTTCCCAGTGACACTTGTGTCAACCTAAATCCAATGACCTACTGGTGGCTTACAGCCAAATCAGTATTCCACTCTGAATCCAAATGTAAATAACATATCTGGAGGGAGGCAATTACAGCTAAAGTGTTCTTTGTTTGTTTGTTTGTTTCATTCATTACTTTTCTACACTTCCCACTGGTACGGGCTTGTGGGTTGGTTCTGTCCATTCAGCCTTCTTCCTGCCATCCTGCCATCTGTTGTCTTAACAAACTTTGGCATCATATGGTACCTTGGTTTTTAAGACTGGAAAGTCAAGCAGGCTTACTTCCCAGGTATACAATCCAATGCATAACTGGGTATAAAACCAGGACCTTACCTGGAAAAGGGACAGTGCCAACATTTCCCCATGTAACAGGGCAGCTCTTTGAAAATGTTCCCTTCATTGTTTCATGAATGAGAGAGAATTAATTCAAAGAGAACTGCAGATTCTTTGTATGAGGAAAAACCAACTTTCTCTCTCTCACACAAGCACTTTTATACACACTCATATACATACATATTCCCATCCAGGTATATGTGGACACCTAACGTGCCCTTATATTGTTTGTTTGTAGTCCAGTAACAGCATACGATAGAGCTAGCATTGTTTTCATAGTACTATATCTTTATATGATTCTAGCCACTTTACAAATACAAATGTTCTGAATGGACGGATGGATGGATGAGACTGCAAATTTTTGTTTCACGACAACACACACTCAGCAGTCTAGGAAATCCTCCCCTTCTCCACAGTATTATGTAATTAAAACTGCAATCTTCTGCCTGCTTTCCTGGGAGAAAGTGCCAGGAGACTTCATTGGCTCAGAAGGCATGCATAGGATTTTGCTTAGGATTTAAGACGCAAACTATTGGAGAAGAAAAAAGGCCTACACATCCCAAGGTAATTCAGGCAACGATGGGTTGTGGCCCCTTTTCCCCTCAACTTGCATAGGATCGAGCCAGGATTTCGCGCAAGTGGGCCACGTCCGCCCATCGGCTCCAGAAGACACGCCCCCCTCCACTCAACGTGCTCGATCGAGCGGCGGCCACCCAGACCCCGCCGCCCCTGCCGCGCGTGTCTGGGGAAGCCTTGCGCAGCGCTCTCCTCCGGGGCGGGCCACGCCGCCCCCTCCGCGGCGCGCCGGGAGGCCAACTGTGTGGCCGGCTTTACTCCGCGCTGCTCCTCCTTGCGGAGGCGGGCGCGGGTGCGGGCGCCTATAAAGGCGAGGCGCCTTGCGCTGCGCGGACGGCGAGGCGTCTTTGCGCGGAGCTGTCCAGGCAAAAGAACCGTCCGGCAGCCGAGCCCGCTGCGGCGCGACGGCACAGCTGCCCGTGGCCCGCGCGCGGAGACGCCGAAGCCCTCGGGGGGCCGGAGACAGAAGGGCGAGGCGGGCGGCTGCCGGGCGCCCCCGACAGCGGGCGGAGAGCTGCCGAAAGCCGCTTGCAGGGCGACCTCTGCGGCGCGAGGAGGAGCCGCGGCGGCGCTTCCCCGACGGCGGGGCAGGAAAGGCGTGCGCCGCATGGAGCGGGCTCTGTGACTGCGGGCAGCGGGAGGAGGACAGGCGGGCTCGGCTCGCGGCGCAGCCCGAGGAGGCGACGGCACCCGGGCGGCAGGCGGGCCCCGTGGCCCGAGGCAGGCAGGCGGGCCGGTCCGCCATGCCGCTGAGCTCGGCCGCGGCGGGGCCGGGCGGCGCCGAGCCGGCCTGGGGCAACTTGACGGCGGAGGGCAACGACAACGGCAGCCGAGCCGCCCCGCCGGGGCTCTCCGCATCGGCCGAGGGGGCGGACGGGCCGCCGTCGGCGCAAGAGCGGGCGCTCTTCGCCGTCCGCTGCGTGCTTCCTTCGCTCTACCTGCTGATCATGGTCGTGGGCTTGCTGGGCAACGTCACGCTGCTGAAGGTCTTCGCGGGCCGGAGCGCGGCGCGCAGCGTGCCCAACATCTTCATCTCCAGCCTGGCCGTCGGCGACCTCCTGCTGCTGCTCACCTGCGTGCCCGTCGACGCCTCCCGCTTCCTGCTCGAGGACTGGTTCTTCGGCGAGCTCGGCTGCAAGCTGATCCCGGCTATCCAGCTCACCTCGGTGGGCGTTTCGGTCTTCACGCTGACCGCCCTCAGCGCCGACAGGTAAGCGCAGAGGCCGAGCGGAGAGCACTCGGTGCGGAAGCGAGTCCTCGAGGAAAGGGGGAGACAGGGAGAGGGAGAGAGAGAGAAGGAAGGGTATTCCTAGGGGAAGCAAACACAAGCAGGCACAAAGACAGAGAAAATGCAAAACCCCCATCTTATTCTTGTTCACCAAACCCCGTCCCCCGCCGACAGGGCTGCCGAATTGATCAGAAAATCCCACGAGTATTTTCCTTTTCTTCAGGAAAGGCAAATGAAATGAAATAGCTTCCCTCGGTGAATTTCTGTATTTTTGGTAGTTGGGAAAAGCACACTGCTTTGCTAGAATAGCAGTCTTAACAGGACGGTGAAATCTTCCATACACGCAGAAGTGAACCTTTCTTTGGTTGCTTGAACTGAATTTGAGTTGCACCACCGGAGGCTGAGATGGAGGCTCTAGCATCAGTTGTGGACTGTATCCAAGCTCGCTTTAGTCTGACCGGTTACGGAACTGTCCATGGTACTGCATCTTCAGCCCAAGCGGATTCAGCAGTGCGGACAGCTCCCAGAAAGCTCAAGCTGAGCCCTGAGAGCTGCGCTCACCCTGGTGTCGCTAGCTGTGGTGGGTGAACCTTTTTCTCAGCTGAAATTTTGTTTTGTTTTTCACTGCTAAGGTTCAGGTCTGCCACCATGTGTGAAGTCCGAGGGCATCTGATTATGTACAGAAGGCACTTCCTCACATTACTTCTATTGGATATATGGACGTGCTTAGCTTTTCCTAAACCTGGCTCCTAAGGCTTTACTTGGAAGCAAAGTAATCTTCACAAATAAAAGAAATGTTGCTTTCATGTAGCACAGTCTCTTTTTTGGAAACTGCCTTCCCTCTGATATTTTTAAGGCATTAAATGGAGCCGAGTGGTGCAATGCTATGCAAGTTTAGACATCCCCTCCCCCCACACAACTTCCAGCATTCCCCATTAAGACTCTTCCTGTCTAAAGGCATACAGGTCTGGAGCAGGCAGTTTGGAAGAAAAATGAATGGGCATCTCTGCAATGCTGTACTGGATGTCCACCAGTCCCTGTGTATCTTCAGTACAAAAGTACACTGAGTACAAACCTCAAGACAATAATTGTTCTGGGATAAGCCCTGAAAACACATCTTGTGCACTCAAGAAGGTGCCTTAGAATGAGTTAGAGTATGGGTCCATTCAACCCACTGTAGCTGAGCTCACGGATTCAGGAAGGGATTTTTCTAACATTATCAGGGTTTGGGACCCTCAGCATGCAAAACTCTACCACTGAGCCATGGCCCCCCCATGTGTTTGGAATTCCTTTGTGGGTTCTATGCTTTTCCAGCATAGCAGAGCAGCACTAGATCAAGAGTGTTGGATGTTGCCATCTACCATGCTCTATGCATTCATTCCCCAACCAGTGCCTTCCAGGAGTGTGCACTACAGCTTCCATTATTCCCAGCCAATGGCCAGACTGACTGGGGATGATCAGCATTTGGATCCAATGCATGTGAAAGCCAACAGGATGGGAAGGGTGTCCTAAGTGAAGGGAGAGGCGTAAAATGAGTGGTAAGGATGCACACACATACCTATTCACAAGATATTTCAGTAACAGGGAGAAACATGAACTTCAATTACACTCAGAAGCCATAATCCCACTCAGCTCTGAGAAAGCTGTTACAAACTGCTCAGGGTGTCCAGTATGCTTTTGCTGTTCAATATTACAAAGCAAAATTGTGGCAGGTATGAAGGTTTCAGATGGATAGAACAATTTAATAATAGGTATGTCTACTGAGAAGTAAGCCCCATTGAATACAAAAAGATTTACTCTTGAGTAAATCTGTATAGAATTACACTGAACACAGCTTTTTCTTTGACAAATGGGGAGTGTCAGTAGCCTGAGTCTTTCCTAACTTACCAGTGGAATGGATTTTTCCAGTCGTATGTACATTGGAAAAGGTGTGGTCTTCAAAACTGATCTTCGATGCATATATTCTTCATTTGGATGTCTATGAAAAAGCAAGGAGCGAAGTCATGTAAGGCTCTTACCAAGGTTGTTTGTTTGAGGAATATTCAGTGTTGTCATATGAGGAGCATCAAAACAGCAGTGTAGCATCTTTTCTTCTTATGGTAAACCAAGCTTTCCTTAGTTCATAATATGCAGTATCCCTTCCTTGAAACTTGAGAAGACTATCTGATAAAAGATGAAAAACAAACTTCATACTGTATTAGTCATATGTAGCTAGTGGCATTCTATGATTTTACCTGTCTGTGGAGTCATGTTGCCAATAGGGAGATGAAAAGGGCATACAGATACACAGGAATTCGAAATAGTCTGTAAAAAGAGAAGGAATTTTCCTCAAAGGTATGCAACAGAGGAAACAGCCGGGGACAAGTAACTGATAAGAAAAGAAAACATTTAACAAATTAGGAAAAACAGACAATTAGAGGATAAGTTGGATGTAATTGGAAAGGGTATTATGAAAATTCACAAAACTAAAAGGGTGCTTTGGACTCAATCCTATTTCAAACATAATGTGAATGCCACCTTCTAATATGACTAGAAGCATCGCTCCAAACAGAAGCTGCCTGCAGATGGAATCTAACATATGCTACTTGAACCAGATCAGCTATGGAGATCTAAACTTCATTCCTCTTGATAGCATGGTTGCATCATGGTTGCATAATACTTTTTGTTGAAAAATGTCCTGCTGAAAAATGTATTTATTTGGAAATAAATTAGTATGCTTCAAAATAATCCTTAGGTTCTATAAGAAGTTTGCAGATAGGTAGCCTGGAAGTTGAAACCTTAGTCATAATCATTGTTCCCCTCAATTGCCTCCACTTATAATTGCTAAGGTTTTTGTTGAATGAAGGCACATCCTTACTCATAAAAACCCTTCTGTACTAAGACTTTTGCAAGGGGAATGCTTCAGTCATGTCCTCTGTCAAGGTGCTCCATTCCAGTTTTAATTGGGAACAGCTTGAGTGTGCTTAGTCTTAGTGAATGGGTTTGGGGGGTTTTTTTTGCCTGTAGTGGGGGTGGGTGAGATAGGTGGGTGGGTACCTCCTCTTTTTAATTGATTTCTATTTTAATTCTGCAAACCAAACTTGGAATTACCTAATACCTTCCTCTTGGGCATCCTTGACGCTGTGTTGGCTGCATAACGATCCAGATCCACAGTCGCACTTGGAGAACAAGCTTGCATTTAGGGTTCTGAATATGCTAGATACTTGAACTAAACACATTACATGCAGATCTAATCTCTCTCTCTCTCTCTCTCTAAAGTCACGTGGACACAAGATTGGGAAGATTTTCTATATGGCATGATTAGGCCAGTGGACTTAGAGAATGGAATCCTCCATTGAAGAATGAAAAGTTGCAGGCATTTCTGTTACTTCTGGTACTTCATACTAGTGATGACCCTATGAAAAGAGAAAAAAGAGCAAAAATATTATTTGATACCAAGTCTATCTCTGATCAGAGCAATAGCCAGAAGCGTTTTCTAATATCCCACAGACACTTTCTCTCATAGCAATGTTTTCATTCATGCATTTGCCCCCAGGTTTTAAGAGGAAACAGGGAAGATTGGTTCTTTGAAAGCAGTGGGATTATGAGGACAAATGGTGAGGAAACCAGCTTTCCTAAGCCCACTGGCCTTTCTCCCTTCAGTCATTTAAGTGTGCAAGAAACCGATATGTGGATTTGCCCTTCTTTGCTAATAATTGTGTCTGGAAGAGATAATCATTGGTCAGGCTTATCAGAACATGCCTGGCTCAAGAGGCAGGATCTTGATTCATTCTGAGGCAATTGGAAATGCTTGTGAACACAGCCAGCAAAAGCCTGAGATCTTTTTAGTGGTGTTTGGAGAAACATTAACTTATGGGAATCTCGAGGGACTGAAATATTTTTCATTCCTTGCCTGAAATATGTAGACTCCAGTGTAGCCTGCCACCCCGGGAGAGGGGAAACCTCCTGCGCATGAAAGTAGCAATCAAAGTCCTGCTAAGATTTGGCAGCACGTTGTGGTTGCCCTCTGGGGTTCACTTTGTTGCAAACAGCTGTGTGGGGTGGCTGATGAGCCATTAATCTGTTGCCACTCCCCATGTGATTTAGATGGCTGTCTCTACAGCACTGCAGATATTCTGCATGCAGCCCTGTGCGTTGTTCACTTGCAGCACCATGAAGAAAATTGCGCAGCCTGTACAAGAGGCTGCTACAAGCAGCCAGGCAAATTTAGAGTCTGGCCCTAATGACCTTACAGGGAAGGACTTTAGATGGCCATGTAGATTACTTCAGTTGGAGCAAACACCACTAGTATTTCTCTTCTCTCCACCCATCACTCCAACTTTCACCACTCCATATTTCAGTTTCTATCATTGATATGTCTGAACAAAAACAAGCAAGCAAAAGAAATACATTAAAAGCTTACACTAAAGAAATACTCTGAGCATGTGTAGCTTTGCATTTTAAACTCATTCCATAGTATAGCCATAGGATTAAAATGCAAATCGCCTGCATTGCCCATTCTAACTATTTAAAAGTTAGGCATGCCAGGAGTGTAGATATGAAATTTCTATCTAATTTTGTCCTTTGAGACACATCACAGTGTAACAGACAAATATTCAATATACTGAAGCATTTTGTGTACCTTCTAATAATGATCAAATCAGCAAGCATTTGATAGAAGTCGAAAAGTTCACCCTCCTTTTTTAATCAAAGGAATTCATGCCCATGGGTTGCAAACCCAATACTGGCCTACATGATTATATCTAATAATAGTTACTCAGTGCCAGAAGAAGCGAGTTGACCAGAAATGGCAGTATTTGTGATGAAGAATCATGGTTGATCCCGAAATACAGTTACATGGCAGCTCCCTTGCTGTTCCTAAATGGGGCTCCTGGATGTAAGAGTCTGCACAGTTGCTTGCTACATCTATGGTCAAACAAGAGCCTTTTATGAAAGCTTGATGAAATGGTACATGCCATTATCTGAATGCGAGTGTTTTCTCTTTAGCCCTTAAGATACCTCCAGTGAGATTTTTAGCACCAAGCAAGTTAAGCATCAGGCTTTTCTGCTCATTAAAATCAAAGTATTTAAGAACTACATTAATCTGGGCCTAGACTCAGGAATTGTATCCACGCACTGCTTTGCAGATGTCAAAAATATGGATGTATACCATCTGAACCTTTTCCTGCGAACTTGGGAAATACCAGAACCTATTTTTTTTCTTCTTGTGCGGCCATCAGCAAAGACTTGTCTAGATTTACCAAAGGATTTAGACTCACAAAGGGGATTTCCTAATCTAATCAACATGCTTCTTGGTTAATACATGGTTAGTAAAAAGAACAAGTCTCCAGCTTCAAATTCCTGGACAGTCATTAATCACAGCTGTTTGTAGAAAGCTCAAAGGCACTGGCAGCTGGAGGGCTGAAAACAAATAGTTTTCAATACACTTGCCAGGATAGAGTTGAAAGAGGGAGAGTGAGTGTGTGTATCTCTGTAATGTGGAGCTAAAATCGATGCCCTTAAGGACCAATTAAAGGATCAGCCAGGGTCAACATGCCATACAATACATTTTTATGCAGAGGGAAAGTAGATGGCAGCATTTCAATATCCTGATGCAAGTCGAGTGTCAACAGTAGTAGTGACATCAGCGGTGCTCATGAACATTGCAAACATTTTGCTGTGCAGTCTCAAGAAGGTGTACATGGTTATAGTGGGTAATAAAAGGGCCAAATCTTCAGCTCCAGGTGCCTCGGCAGTCATTATATCTGGACAGTCAGTGGGGCAGGGAGAACCACTGATGTGAGGTGGAGCTTATTTCCAAGTAAATGGGATGGTAGGATGGAAATCTTACATATGCATATTATTCAGAGGTAAGTCCCACTGTGTTCAATGGCACTTCAGATCTGTAGCCTTCATTTCTAAAGTAAGAAGTGCAGAAGGTCAAGCCTATGTGAAGTTATGTTCTGTGATGTAAAAAACACACACAGACCTAGAGGTGGAAAGGCTGTCAAAAGATGTTTGGTGGTGAAGAGGTAGTACCAGATTCTTCACATATTGCTAACTCTAAGTACCATCATCCCTAGTCAGCATTAGTAGTCATGGAATAAGAAGAGACACTGTAACTGGTTAACAAAAGCAGAGAGTGTATGATATAAACGCATGTGATATGGAAGAAGACTGCTGGTAGCATAACCTTCATTCTGTGAGCTTTCATGGACTTTCTTTCATTTCAGTTCACTCTCTAAGACTGGGCTGAGAATGACAGGAAGTCAGTGAATGAGGGACAGATCCCACTAAGTTCTGAAATTAGAAGTTAGATGTTTGCTGATTGCTCAATAATTGCAAACTATTTAGGGTGGTTAAAACAAAAAGGAATTGCAAAGAGCTCCAAAACCATCTCTTCAAATGAGGAGAATGGTCAGGAAAGTGCCAATTGTGATTTAATCTAAACAAATGTAAAGTGATGCATATTGGTACAATGCCCCTTCCAATACATAGTTCCTGTATGTTTTGATTGGCATATACTAGCTGTGACTAAACTAGAAAGAACTTGAGCTTCTGGTGGCCATCTCAATGGAAATGTCAATCCAGTGTGTAGCTGGTATGAAAAAGGCAAACTCCAGTTTGGGCATAATGCAGAAAGGAGACTTTCAAGATTATGCTCCCCGTATACAAATCCATGCTGTGACGACACATGGAATACTTTGTATAATTCTGGTCGCTGCACCTAAAAAAGGATATTGTTGAGTTGGAAAGGGTAGAGAAAGGAGCAACTAAAAGGATCAAGGGCAAGGGGCAACTCTCCCGTGTGTGACTGGGACTGATTAGCTTAGAGAAAATGGTGAGTGAGGGGAGGCATAATAAAGGGGTGCAAAAGGGGTGCACCCCTTTCTCCACATGGTGTGGAGAAAGTGGACAGGGAAACTTTTCTTCTTTCTTCTGTCATAGTCCTGGAATCCTGGAGCATCTCATGAATCAGGGCAGGTAAAAGGAAATGCTTCTTCACAAAGTGCATAGGTGTACTGTGATTTTTTTTATCACAGGACAGAATGATGGCCACCTATTTGGATACCTTTAGAGGGGGATGGCACAAATGCATGGAGGAGAAGGCTATTAATGAGTCCTAGTCCTGATGGTTTTATGCTGCCTCCAGGGTCAGAGGCAGTGTGTCTATGGCCACCCATTACTGGGGAGCATGAGAAGGGTGCTCTTGCACTCATGTCCTACGGTGAGCTTCCCACAGCCAACTGGCTTGCTGGGATGTAATTAGAATGGCTGATTAGATGGACCTGATTCAGGATGGCTCTTCTTACATTGCAAATGTACAAAGTGTGCCAATAAGATGTTCAGGGTTCTGTGATGTTGTGGTATCTCTGAACAAATAAATATCAGTCAAGATAGCTAGGAGAAGCCTATATTCTAGAAGAAGTAGTAGCTTTCCATGGCAATGCATGATGTTGTATCCCACTAGGGTCAATCTAGATCCCTTGATGGTTTTCTAACTTAGAATATATTGCAGTCAGTCAGTTACTTTTTCCTCCCCTGATTTTTCCTTCCTCTGCCCCTGTTCTGCCCTTTCCCTCCAACACATATGAAAAATGGATATTTATGGACAACAATCCTTTGGAACAGGAGCACAAGACTCGTATCTGTTAGCTGGTATGTTCTTGCCACTACAGGTTCCAAAGGATCTCAAAAGGAAGTAGTCTCCTTTCAGTGAAAGCTTGTATTCTTTGAGAAGTAATGTTCATTTCCCTTTTTATATTTTTAGGTACAAGGCAATTGTAAACCCAATGGATATTCAAACATCCAATGCAGTCCTGTGGACCTGTTTCAAAGCAATTGCTATCTGGATAATTTCCATCTTGCTAGCAGTTCCTGAAGCGGTTTTCTCTGAAGTGGCACATATCAATGATGCAGATAATGTCAGTTTCACAGAATGTATACGATATCCCTCGAAGGATGCTTTGCACCCAAGAATCCACTCAGTGATGATACTTTTGGTATACCTCCTTATCCCCCTCACCATCATTTCTATCTACTATTACCATATTGCAAGGACTTTAATTAAGAGTGCACATAATTTACCTGGAGAATACAGTGAACAATCTAAAAGACAGGTAAGTCACCAAGACATTTGTTAAGAGATGTTCTTGAAAGGTCTCATCCATCTCCTAAATCTGCAGGCCAGCTGAGATTTTATTTTAGAGTATTAATATGCTATCGGTGCTAAGGTATTCCTACTTATAACTTTGATAATTTGTTATCAGAAAGTTCTGTGATTATCCCTGACAACTAAACCCCTTCTCCATCAACATGACTTTGGAAATAATTTCCACCATGTTGAATGTTTGGTACATGCCAAGGAAACAAAAATAACTATAGTTTCCTAAGACAGAATTCCAGGCAGGTTTTACCATTTCACATGAACTGAACCCACAATAAAATTTTCATAAAACTGTTCTGTTTCAGCCACTTAAGTCCTATCACAATGATGCTGGGCCCTATGAGTTCCGAGGAGTTCCAAAGGTGTGCGTTACAGTTCTGAGATCTTATGGCAAGACAGGTTCCACTTGATTCTAACCAAACTGGAGCCAGGTTTCCTAAAGAGCCAAGAACAAGCACCACAGAAAATTCCAAGGAACTGGGAGCTAAAAAAACTCGTGTTGCTCCAAACAGGAAAGCACGAATGAGCTTTAAGTATCAGGTTGACCCTCTTTAGACTGGTTAGGCCCATACTGGTTGACCTCATGCCTCCATACTTTCTCAAAGGAAGCTGTTCAATTTAGCGACTTCAAGCTGCAAGGACACAGAGGTAGCTGCAGTGTAGTAGCATCTTCATGTTTGGAGGCCTCAGAATCTAAGAACTGCAATTTATTTATTTATTTAGGGAACTTCTATGCCACCCCATTCTCTGAAGCCTTGGGGTGGCTCACAAACATAAATAAATAACATCCTATAAAATGATATAAATTAAGTCACCCAGGCCAAATAATAAAATAAATAAATATTAACAATTAAAATAATGTTTGAATAAAAAGGTCTTCGCCTGCGCCGAAAAACAAATAACGACGGCGCCAGGTGGACCTCTCTGGGGAGCGCATTCCATAGATTGGGCGCTACCACAGAGAAAGCCCTCCTCTGAGTACTCACCCTCCTAATTTCCTTCACAGAGGGTTCCCGGAGAAGGGCCTCTCCCGTAGATCTCAAGGGGCAGGCAGGCATATATGGATGTAAGCGCTCCTTCAGGTAACCAGGACCCAAGCTGTTAAGGGCTTTATAGGTCATCACCAACACCTTGAATTGGGCCTGGACTTCAATGGGAAGTCAGTGAAGCTGATGGAGAACTGTGATATCCTTTGCAGACAGAGGGGCTGCTGGGGAACTAGGCCCTCAGGTAGTGGAAACTGTATAATACCTTTCTGTAACAGTCTGCAACTAGAACCCTTTTCTCTTTTCCATTATCTAAGTTGCCTTGTCATATGAGGACAATAGTTCTTCAGAATCTACCACAGTTTCTATATGGTTTTAGGAGGCACATAGGAGCCTCCAAGTGGTTAAGAGCCTGGGACTGGGACTTGGGAGATTTGTGTTCTAGTCCCTGCTCAACCATGGAGCTCACTCGGTGACTTTGGTTAAGTCATGGACTCTCGGTCCAACCTACCTCACAGGGTTCTTGTTGTGAGGTGAGAAGAAGAGGGGGATTATGTATGCCTCCTTGAGTTCCCAAGGAGCAATGAGGGATGCAAATTCAATAGAGCTATGATTATGGGTAGTGTAGAAATGTAAATAATAATAATAATAATGAGGAGGAGGAGGAGTCCCTTTTGTTTAACTGAATAATAGACTGGCTAGACTTATCTGTCAATATTCTATCCTTTACTTACCCTATGCCTAGCCAATAATAAGATATACATTAATTGTTGCTTTTTGTGAATTTAGATTCAATGTTTAATATGAATGGTATATATGGTTGTCATGTTTGTCATAAAACATAGCATTATCTACAGAAGCAGTAGGCAACTTATGCAGCACTAAGGAGAAGATTGAAATAGAGTACAAACCAGTGGACTGCAGGTAATTTACACATAACTATTATGTGCTGCAGTCTTGAGTACTTTTATTCAGAAACAAGTTTCACCAAAATCAATGCTCTTGCTTGCAAGAGAAATTGCTTCAGTATAATCTATTTTGACAATTACAATTGGTAATTGTAATTTGCTTCTCAGATTAACAAACATAGTGTATCCAAGGCTATAGTTAATATGATGTGTTGCATTAGACCAGAAGAACTACCTTGTAAATGTGAAATACATGAGTCATCCCAAGGGACTGAAGCTGTTCTTGGTAAATTAGAAAAGGGATATTCTATTACACCAGCGGTGGGCAACTTGTGGTCCTGCAGATATATTGGCCTACAGCTCCCATCAGCTTTAGTCAGTGCAGCTGACAGTGAGGGAGGATGGGGAAGAAAGGGCAAAGCACCTGCAGCCCTACGACAGAAGGACATTTCTGCCTGACAGTCATCTATTCTTTCTATTCTTCTGGGTGTTCATCATACACTCGGAAATGGCTGGGTAGCCTTGCTGAATCACAGCATTGTGCAAATCATGCTGCTGTGGAGAACTGCAGGCCCAGGGGCTACATCTGGTCTTTTGAGAGTCCCAATCCATTTCCTCAGTTCACCCTGCTCCTTCCCCTTTCCCCAGACATCAGTTTGGCAGTTTATTGGCTTTACAGCATTTCCCCCCCTTCTAAATGGTCTAAGTCCCTCTTTAAGGCTTAGTTACTGGCAATAAGAGCTTTAAGCTCCATGAAATGTTTAGTTTTCTCCTTCCTCCTCCGCCCCTGCCCCAATGTGGCCTCCAAAATTCTTCTTCAGAATCGCATTCGGTCTGAAAGCGGTTCAACAGACAGCTGGCAGAAGGTGATCTCTGACCTGCTTGGGGTTAGGTGGAAGAGCTGAATGAAAGTTGGCCATCTGTTTCCCTTTCAACACGCTGTTGGTAAGATCGAGAGTTGGTTGCCCTGTCAAGGCATGTGCGGCCCAATGCTGTGAGAACAACAATCTGTACATGAAAGCATCTGAGAATGAATTAGTGTAAAAGTTCCCGCTGTGCTGAACTTTTTTGGATTGTACATGAACACATTGTGAAAGTTGCCGGAGAACCTAATGTTCTCTGGTTTGATCAGGTCTTTGCCATGGAACCGTTCAATTTCTTGTGACTAGCTGTTTTTGCTCATTTTATTACTCTAGATGGAAACTCGAAAGCGTCTGGCCAAAATTGTATTAGTCTTCGTTGGCCTTTTTGCTGTATGCTGGTTGCCTACCCATGTACTGTACATGTATCGGTCCTTTAACTACAAAAAGATTGACCCATCACTTGGCCACATGATCATCACCTTGGTAGCCCGAGTGCTCAGCTTCTGCAATTCATGCGTCAACCCCTTTGCTCTCTATTTCCTCAGCGAGAGCTTTAGGCGGCATTTCAACAGCCAGCTTTGCTGTCACTTGATGCCACATCAACCAAGATCTGCCAGTTACCTGAACAGTTCCTCAGCCATTCGAATGACTTCTGTGGAGAACAATGCCAGGAACACTGTTGCCATGACAACACTGCTGAATGGGCATAACCCCAAACAAGATGCTTCATTGTGATTTAATCGATGCACACCTGAGCTTGGGATAAGTTGCTTTTAACTATCAATGGTGTTGCTTGCCTAAATTTCTTAACACAGATCCCATGGTTTAGGGATGAACTTGTATTAATTTATCTTCACATTGGTTTAATAAGGACTAGGGATATTTTCCCTCTCCTAATACCTGTTGAGGAATTAATGTTTGACTGGAATTGCTGTACATAAGTGACAAGGATGCACTAAGATCAGGAATGTCAATGGTGTGTTGTTTCTTCAGACGAAAAAGCACTGATTTCCTGAAATTACGTTTTCTAGTTGGGAATGCTTTGGAAGTTCTGTGACTGAGTCAGATCCTTTTACAAAACACTGTCCTCCCAGTCCAACAAAGAAGATCTGCTAATCTGCCTGCACATCAGGGTATAGATTCACATAGCTCTGCTTATTCATGCTCCACTGAGTTTAATAGGTATGTTGGATGAAGATGCGGAAGTCCTCTTGATTTGGGTCACCGACTTTGTGCATTGGAGATGGCTCAAGCTCTGTATATGCAAACAGCACATGAACATATTATGAAGGGTTGCGTTAAGTGGTACTGACAAATTAGGAACATGAATTAGGATTATCTGCCCAGGTTACGCAATCACCTCCGTCTAGGTGTGATATTCATGTGTTACCTACTGCATGAGGGGGAGATGACAAGGGTGCACTCACAGGTCTTGCCTTCCCCATGGGCATCCCTTACGCCACCTGCCTGCCACCCTCTGCATCCTGGACAGGAAAGATGTAAAGCACTGAACCTGCTCTAGAGTGGGGAAGCAGCAGCAGAAGTTACATGCTGGTTTCCTGGCCACCCCTTATGATGGTGAGGATGGACACCTAAGGAGGGCTTAGAGTGCAGGGTTATGTTAGGGCAAATATGTCACAAAGGCCCATTCTTATCATCCACTATGCACGCTGAGATGCCAAGTGTGTATATATTGCAATGTGAGAACTTGGCCATTGGGTGGCATAGAAATTTAAGAACTAAACGGGTAAATAAATCTTCAGTGAAGCAGTGGTGTGAGTACACTGAACAGCCACAGAGACTTGCATGAGCATTGTATAGAAACTCACATCATACCATTCGTGATTGTACTTTGCCACTTGATTTCTGCAGCTGGCACACTCATTATTTGTCCAATATAATTTTATGCCATAAAACTGGGGATCAGTGAGAAACCTCTGTGGTGGTTTATTACTAAATCATTAAGGATGAGTTGGTACAAATACTGCTGGCATCAAAGTTTAAGCATACTATTAGATAGTGGCTCTTGTGTCATCACTCTGGTCACTTCATTGTCCATGAAATTTATCATGCCTTTAAAGGTTTTACGAAAAACAGAACAAAACCAACCCACCAGACAAGCAGTGTCAGCTGGAACCTTGTTAAATCCTTTTGTTAATTTCCTGTGTTCTGATAGATTGTCCCACATTCTCTTGCTCACAAAAGATCCCCAGCTGTGACCTTTCTTGGTATTTATTTATGTCTTTGAAGGACTTTTATGATACTGCCCATCCCAGGAGTAACTAGTTTGAACAAGACAGGCCCTGTCCACAGGCTTACACTCTAAAAACAGATGACGTACACGGGAAAAAGAATGGGGAAGACGGTGGGAAATTATAACAGTAGGTTTGGAGCAATGGTCCTGCTTCCCTCTCTCATTTCCTTCCGTTCATCCTGATGGAATGGCTGAAGATGGTGACCATGGAGGGAGCAGGCTGAAATTACATGGGTAGCTCTCTTTATAAAGTAAGAACAGCTGACCAGGATACATTTTCCCATTAGGGCATAAGCAAGGGCATCTTTGTCTTCTATCCCTGTCAGTTTTCTGAACTTGCCTCCACCCTGCACTGCTTTTGGCCCTGTAGGGAGAAAATATGGACTGCTCAAATCAGCCTGAAGGCCATTTGGATGTGGGGATCTAGCAGGAGAGGAAGTGCTGCGAATAGATACTCCTCCAACCTGCCTCCCAGTGCACATAGTCTTGTCCGTGACAGAGCACACTGACCCCACAGTATCCATATGTTGTCATGGACATTTGGAAAAGGAAAACTATCCGAGTGGATCACACAGGAATTGCAATCATGTGGAGCATACATGCCAGGTAGTTGACCCTTTCTGGATGTTCATGCTCTCTGTGAAGGGATGGGCCTTGCAGAGGTATATGATGGGTTCGGAAGAGCCATGACTGGGACAAAATAACTGCAATGCTGCTACATTTCCACTAACATAAAGGGAACGTTAGCCATAAAGCAATCTATGGAATGCGCTCCCCAGAGAGGTCCGCCTGGTGCCGTCGTTATTCGTTTTTTGGTGCCAGGTGAAGACCTTTTTAGTCAAACGTTATTTTAATTGTTAATATTATTTATTTGTTTGTTTTGTTTTTTGGCCAGGTCGACTCAAATTATGTTGTTTTTATATGGTGTTTATTTATTTATTATTGTGAGCTGCCCTGAGGCTTCGGCGAATGGGGCGGCATAGAAGCTTCCTAAATAAATAATAAATAAAGCATCTCATCATCCTCATCATCACAACTACATATGCATAGCAGCAACCATAGGATGTTACAGAAACTTCCTGGTACAGAAGTGGTTTTGTGATGGTGTCCTAAAGGGAAAAAATGGTGTTCAGTCATATTTTCTAGCTTCTTTTGTGTGGCATGAGCAACTTGTGCCCGGCAGCCACAACTAATCAAGCATGGCTTAAAATGGTGCAAAGCATGACAAAGTGGAATGCGCTTATGGAAGGCTGAAAGTCTCCATTCTTGGCAGAAGACAAAACTTCCACCAACCAACCCATGAATGTTAATGTGTCATCTGTGAAAAGAATGTGTATAGCTCCTTGTGGACAGGAAAGGAGTCCATCTTGAACACACTGCTTTGTAAAAACTTGTCTGAAGTAATGTGAGCAAACAAATGGGCTTCCATGCAGCATGATATTTGTGACTTAGCATTACCCCTAAAACCATTCTGAAATGGTGTTTTGGTTCAAATAGTGTGTTGCGTTTTCTAATAGTCTTCTTATTGTGGTTCAGTAAATGTTGTCAATCTGCAGATATGAGATGTTTCTATGTAACAACAATTAAAAATGATAAAAATAATACAGCATGGGTGAATTTTTCTTTGTAAGTCTGTGAAGCAGTTCTGCTAGTTTTCAGGCGCCCCAGTTCAGTGAAGGTTATTTGCACTTATAAAGCTGAAATCCTGTCACAGCCTTTAGCAAGATTTGTGCTATTTCTGAGTAAATATGCATAGAGTTTGGTTCCATGTTCCTCTGAAAAGCAGTGAAAGCAGTTGCAAGTACAAATGTTGAATGCTTGGCCTAGGCATAAGGCTTGTAATGGTCTAGGCATAACTCAGTGAAGTAGTGAAAATTACTGGGTCCCTAAGATTCCCACAAACCCCTCTCTCTTACTCAGCTGCTCAATGGTTTTAAGAGAGAAATTAATAGAGATAAAGCAAATATCAACACTTAGGAACTAATTTGTGGTCCCATAATTTCCCCTTAAGGAATATCTAGGCATCAAACAAATTATGGAACTGAACAGGGAGAAACAGTTAAACCCAGTCCTAAATTTTCTTCCATCCTTCATATGAAGCAATTACAGACAAACAGATGGACCTGTGGTTTCTGAAGGCTTGGCCATCATTCTCTCCATTTATCTGTTTCAGCTCAGAGAAGAGTCTTAATCTGGAAGCAGGCAGGATTACTTCTGTGGGTTTTTCAATAGATTGCAGTCATTTGGTTTGGAGTTCTCATGAGAACACATTTTTAGCTGCCAACATGGAAGAAATATCAAGAACCACATCCTCCTGCTGGGGCCTAAAGGATACTGGAGATCAATTGAAAATATCCGAATTAGTCTGTCATCAGTCAGCCCTTCATTTTACTTCCACTTTCCCCTAGAGTGAGGAAATCTGTACCACACTGTTGTGGGGGACCATTATAGATCACATGTGCTACTTTTTGCACCCTTGTTTCTTCCCAGTAGATCTCTGATACAAACATAGACTGTGAGCCTCAGGGTAGAAAGTGCCTATCATCTGGGAATAACAATACTGAAGTGAGGAGCAGAATTATTTTAAGTATTTAATAACAATGAAGCAGCTTTGTGACCAAAGGGTGGGGGATTCTTCCTTGGTTTCCCACTTGCATTAGAGTATAAGAACACAGAAAGGACCATGCTGGCACAGACAAGATAATCTGTTCCAGCATGCTGTTCACACTGTGGCTAATCAGCCCGCAGGTGACCCAGAAAAGGGCACGAGTGTACCAAAACACTTGCACCAAAGGGCTGGAGAAGCACAGAGCTGCTAACACTTAAGGCAGCATATAGCTATCTGGAGTAGTAGCCACTGATAGCCTTTTCCATGAATATGTCCAGTTCTCCTTTAACGGCATCCAGACTGCAGGCCACCACTACAAATGAATGCTAAAGTTTAATTAATGCATTGTGTGCAGAAATCCTTCCTTTTATCTGCCCAGAGTGTCCTACCAATCAGCTTCATGGGATAACCCCAGAATCTAGTATTATGGAAGAAAAAGTAAAATGTCTTCTTCATTTTGTACACATCATGATAAATTTTTTATAAGCTAAGGATTAAAGGCACAAAGTGGAGATGACATTCAGGGAGGAACAAGAACAATTTTCTTTCTGAGATAACTTTCCGAGCCCCATCTACACTTTTTATGTGGTTATTTAGTTTTATTATGCAAAGCATTGTATTTAATAATGATTATTATTAAAGCTCTCAAACAGAATTGTGCTCAAGAACCAAGAATTGAAAAAAAAAGTTGATTAAAATGAAAGTTATTTCACTTCTTGGAAAAAAGGCAGAAATCCATGCCAAAGTGAATCAAAAGCATGGAGTTTTTATGATTGTGAAAAGTAAAACAAAGCAGGAAAATAAATCATTTGAAATACTTATTTTCTCAGAACATGACATATAATTAGGAGAGGAAACTGGTATGTTGATAGA